ATCGACTGGCTGGTACCATGGTTCACCTCACTCGACAACTACGTGAACGTATCATTGTCTGGCGCCATGAGCAAAACAAGACACTCCGAGTGATTTCTGAGCTTGCGGGATGCAGCATAAGCACAGTCTTCGAAGTTCTCCGACTCTACACGGAATACGGCACAGTCATCAACCCGAATGCTAGACCTCGAGGCCGGCCGCGCACTCTGGACATGCAGGATATGAACTTCGTGCGATCAGTTATTGAGGGAGAGCCTGCTATCTACCTTGATGAGCTACGAGATCGAGTCTACAACAGACTACACAGCACATGCAGTTTGTCAGCCTGAGGGCGGGCTGCAGTCTACAGAGTCACACAGTCACAAGAAGCCATCTCGCATTACTGCATATGGGTATATTTGGCTCGAACAAACAATGCTCACGGAAACCCGATTTTCGGTTTCATATGCAAACGACTGTAGACCTTACTCCATGTACATAGCTACAGATGAAGATATTAAACTGAGGGTCTTCCAGTTGGAGACTACTGCTGGCCACAGACCACACTGCAAGTGATGTGCAGCATCATTGTATGAATGATGAGCTTAATGATGGGGGATGTAAGCCAGGTGTTTGCTTCACTCGGCAGTTGGGCTCAGAAATGTGTCGTGTGGACCATGGCAACCTGTATGGACCAATTGTAGAGTACACAAGAGCTGAAATGATAACAGGAAACTAAGGAAGGAGATGATGACTCTGCAATGAAATGAGAAAAGTGCAGAGTCCAAAATGTGAAGGTAAACACAGGGTAATCCAGTGCTAGCAGTATTACAGGGGAACCATGCTCAAAGTACTGGTGGCAGATGCATTGGACTTGCAACAATGATGCCCCAGAACAATAAACAATCCCCAATTTAATTCACTCATACCAAGAACACACTGTGATGCATTTCCCATGACATGTACAGTTGAGTGGACATTCACCGTCATTTTTAATTATTTAACATGAAAATACCCCCCCAGCAGACCAGGGTCTGTGGGTCCATCCAGCTGATAGTCAGAGATCCATCATGGATTTGAAGCAGCTAGTAGTGGCTCTTGGACCTTGACCAGCAACAAGTACGAGGCACCAGATAAAAGTGACAAAAACATACAAGCTACAGTAAATAAGTTCTTGGGGGGTTGATGATTTGTAAGCAAACAACCCGGGGTTGTTGCTCTCAGGGGGGTTGCTGATTAGAATTATCCCTCTTGAAGCGAGCTTTCTGACGGTTTCGACCCAAATACATAATCCTGGAACTCCCTGAGGGTCGTTCATGGACCACGTGAGCTTGCCCGCTATAGAATCGAAACTCCGCTCAATATCAATGTCATGCGAGTAACGCCCCCGCAACTTTCAGGAGTTTGTAGACGGAGGCGGAGGTTCCTCGAGTGTGCAAGGATAAACTTGCAGCTGCCTCCCCTCGTGACTGGACACCAGTGGAGCTTCGTTCTTTCCGAGGACGATGTAGTTGCCTTCCGTGTAAGTGCGAATCTGCTCAAGTTGAGGACGCCCGGATGCTGACCGGAGACGCCATGATCAGGAGGACTTGCATGAGGTGGTTTGTTTTGTTATGAGCATCTGAATTGGCCGATTTATACCACACTTGCTCTGTTCCTCGCCCTGAGATATGTATTTCTCGAGCGACATCCATGAACTCTGTTTAAATCATTTATATTTTATCTTCGAGCTCGCCCCATCTCTCGCCCGGCCTCATCTTCGGTCAACGAGCCATCTGTGCGACTTTGTGGCAGGTGAGCTTTAACATCCGAGTCGTATCGCTATGTGCGACTCCGATTGTATCTTCTCTGTCCCTGCCCCATCTGCTGGGAATAGTCTCTCGTCTAATGTTTGATAGATCCCGCACGACGGTGCTCCGGTTGTACTTCTTCTCGACCACGACTGGTCACTGGCCATGGTACTTTCATCGCATCTGCCTCTGGTCTACCAGCACTCCTCAGCCCTGGCTATTCCCAGAGCGCAACCCACGTTGCCGCCCTTGATCGTGCAGTGCGGGATTATGACCATGTCTTCCTGCCAGCGATCATTTCTCGGGGCCGAGTGGACAGGAAGACTCTTTGTCCAGGTACACGCGACTACATGGCTGACGGCTTCCATTGCACATCCCAAGCTCTCCTCGTTGACATTCCTTCTCAATCATATGGACTATCACCCCCCGGCCTGTTTTGCATGCATGGTTGCTTTCGTCTGCGACCCGGCACCGCCATATTCCCTCCGGCCTGCTAATGGCCAGGGCAGCCATATGCATGCGGCCACCGTGCGTCTTCTTAATTATGCTGTGTGATCCGTCGAGGTCTTGACGCTTATCTTTGCATCTATCGGGTAGTGCGTACCATGCTTGTACTGGGCTCTCAATGCGAGTGCTTGCAGCACGCGTTTTCCGACCGTATGGATTGTCGTAAATCTGAGCCTTTTCCCGTACGACGGACCCGACGCCGACGAGGTACGTCTGCGGCTGCGAGGGGGGCGTGCGCGACCGAGCTTAATGTCTTGTCTTCTATTCGAACTTCTGACCGGCAAAGTTTATTTCCCAAGCATTACATTCTGCTCGTGAGGAAGCAGTGCCAGTTCATCCAGGTACTCGTTGGGAGGTCGCCATTTCGCAACGGCTCTATTCCGATTGCTCAAGGTGTGGGGTAGATGGGCCATTCCCGGTCTATGGCAGATGCACCCGCCGTGTCGAAAGGGGCGCAATCTCCGTTACTCTTGTTTTCTGATCGAGCGCAGGGCACGGAGATCTTCTAGCGCGAGCGGGATGCGCTTCGATTCATTGTGGCCTGACCTTCCACAGCTCCCCGGGGCCAATAATCCCAAGATCGATTCCACCTTGCTTGATTGGTGCGCGCGCCCCGGCAGACGAGTGCAAGATAATGAAAAGGGCTTAGCAGCGTCCCCGAACTCTATCGTCCAATCAGCTTACGCGTGATGCCCCCGCGAACGTGCGCTCCTCCATTAATGCGCCGCCGCCCTCTACGCCGGACCTCCCATGAACGCGTCATGCGCGGCTGGATGACCAGGCGCGTTCTCAGGGCGTCCGACAAAAGTCCCCAGCGCGCCATATCTGGCACGCCCGCGGGTGCATATCGTGTATCTCTGTGATGTTCTCTCGGTCTCCCCGGGCTTCTCTGTCAGGGGGCCATGGCCAGGTTCGAAGCAGTTATTCGTGGAAAAACACATGCTCCTGGTCCTCGTCGCACGCGCATTAATAATCACATATGTAGTAGTACACTTGCAGGTCAGCAGGACACAGGGCACCTGAAACGGTCGCGTGTGTGGTACCAATACATTATTGCCGCGTACATATACAACGACCGCTGCTTTCTATCGACAATGTCCAGCGAGGTCCGTATATATGTACATAGATAAGCTTGCAGACCACGACGAACGAACGACCAGGGGTCGCGAATCGAAGCGAAGAAACAGAGCAAGAATTTAAACCAGAAGCGCACCATGGACAAGCACGGACCCAGAACGCTATGTACATGGTAACGCCTGCTCAACGGATACTCCTGCCGACGCAGGGACTCTACAGCATGCATGCATGCACGGGACCAATCTCAAGGCAATAATTTAACGAGCGACAGTGTGTGCGCATGCGCGGGGCACGGACGATCAACGAGCGGCTAGCAGTATGTAGGTATACCACGATAAACAACAGCAAACGGCGGGCGAAACGAAGAGGGGAAAACAATGTATGTATGTATGTATGGGTGGGTACGAGCAAATACAGGACTAGGGTTTTACATTCAGCAGCGTCGTATAACCGCGGCACCAAGAAGAGGACGAGAACGAGAACCAACAACGCGCGCGCGGGGGCGCATAGATAGATAAGGGCGAGCGGGAGCGGGGAGTACAGCCACGCAGGCGGGCAATTAACGCGTCGCCGAAGAACCAGACAAACAGACAAACAGACAGACAGACAGACAACAGAGCGGGTGGTATCGGTATCAGGGGGAGACGAGAGACGAGAAGCGAGCGCCGGCGCGCAGAACACATACGCCGGGCTATCGGTATCGGGGGGTCGTAAGTCGAGTCGTGGGCGGGGCATAGGCACAGCGGCGGCGGCGCGGGGGGTCGGGATCCTACATCATCATCGCGAACCCGCCATTCCCGCCGCCCACCGCGAGCGTCTTCATCCCCACCCCCACCCCCATGCCCATCCCCATCCCCATCCCCACGCCCCCGCCCATGCCCATGCCCATCATCATCCCCTCGCCGCCCGCCCACGCGCCCATCCTCCTGGGCACGCCCGCAAACTCGGGCATCTCGCCGCCCACGCCGCCCACGCCGCCCACGCTCTGGCTGCGCGCGCGCGCCTGGTGCTGCGACGCGGCCGACGAGACGCTCGAGCCGTCGTCGCCGTCCACGGGGCTGCCGTACATCGGCCCGTGCGTGCCCATCATCTGCTGCTGGCGGTGCAGGTTCGCGAAGAACGCCGCCGCCTGCGCGTTGTTGTTGTTGTTGCCGTTGCCGCCATTATTGCCATTGCCATTGCCGTTGTTGTTGTTGCTCACGCCGTGCGCGGACTGCGGCGGGGTGAACATGCCCGGCGCGGCGCCGCCCTGCATCGTCTGGTAGAGGTGCATATGCCACGCGGCGACCTTGTCCACGTCCGCCGCGGCGGGGCCGCCGCCAAACGCCGCGCCGCCGAACCCCTGCACGAGCCCGCCAGAGTGGTCGAACGGCGACGGCGCGAGCGGCGCGCGCGGCAGGATGCTCGCGCGCGGCACGCTGTGCGCGAACGGGTGCGCGCCCGCCTTGAGCATCGCGACCGCGCGCAGCTCCTCCAGGTGCACCATCTCCTCCTGCTGCGGCTGCTGCGGCGGCGGCGGCTGCGGCGCATACTCCTCCTCGTCCTCCTCGTCGCCGAGCTCCATGCCGACGGGCGCGGGGAGCACCTCGACCTCGCCCGAGGCGACGATGGCGAAGCCCTCGCCGCGCGGGGGCTCCTCGACGCGCGGGAGCCCCGCGCGGTCGCGCCACTCGTTGAGCTCGCGGCGCAGCGCGTCCGTCTCGACCTTGAGCACGCGCAGCTCGCGCGCGGCGAGCGCGCGGTGCCGCCGCGCGGCGTGGATGTGCGCGATCGACGAGTTGACGATCGCGGACTTGCTCGGGCGCCGGATCTGCGAGAGGTTCGGGAGGAGCGCGGCGAGGTCCTGGTAGTAAGTAGGGTGGGCGGGTGGGCGTTGGGGAGAGGGGGTGATGTCATCGTGGCAAAGAAAGAGGGAGGGAGGGGCGGAAGCGAGGAGGGAGCGAAGTAGTGAGTGAGACGCAAGAGTCAGAGAGGTGACGTAGCGCTCACCAAGAAGCGGCTGTTGAGCGTCTCGCGGCGCGCGCGCTCGACGGCGTTGTGCGTGGCGCGGCGCTCGGCGGTGTTGGCGCGGCGGCTGGGCTTGCGCTTGATGGGCTGGCCGTTGGGGTGGTGGGTGGCTGGGGCGCTGGTTGCGTTCGGAGACGCGCTGCTCTCCTTGGAGGACGAAGAGGCGGCGGGGGAGCCGGAGTCGGGCATGGTCGGCGAGGCGGGGGTGTGCGGGGGGTTGGTCTCCGGGGACGCGGAGGAGGTGGGGGACGAGGTGGGGGTGATGCTGAGCGGGAGCGTCATGGCCATCGCAGGTGTGTGTGTGTGTGCAATGTTTTCGGTGTTTTATCTAGCAGTCGGAAATGGGGTTAGGGGTGGTGTGGAGCAGGGAAGAAAGATAGCAGGGGGGCTGGGACACTGACCTGGTTTGCAGAGGCGAAGCGAGAGACCGGGGTCGAGGGAAGCGAAAGTCGGGTCTGATCGAGCGACGGACAGAGAAAGAGACAGGGGACAGAGTCGAGTCGGTTTTGCCAGAAGAGTGCGAATGCAAGTGCGAATGCGAACGGAGCGAAAGACGGTCTGGCACGCGATTGCTCAGCGGAGACCAGGGACCGTAGGGGCGGGCGGAGCGAGGGGGTCGTGAACAGGGTACGCGAGTGTGCTCAGCGGAGGCCCTGTGGCGGAATTCGACGGGGACGTTGTCGACGGCGGGGTGGTCAGATAGCGATACGAAAAATAGCTTCCGCGAGCAGGGCTCAAGCGTAGACTATTCGGTCCTTTGAAGGCTTGCGTTTGTCGTTCGGGGCGGGGGCGGGTAGTAAGAGGCCGGCAAGGGTCGCGAGATCTGCGCGGGCGTCAGCGACGACGACGACGACGACGACGACGGGGGCAGCGACGAGAGAGAGAGGGGGGACTCACTCCAGGCGGTATCCTTGTGCGGCTTAGGGTCGATCGGGAGGAGGGAGAGAACGAGGGAGCTGAACGTGGGCCGTTCAAAGGACCATCCGACGAGCGACGAGCGTTGGCGGGGGGTGCAGCACTCGGCCTCGTCTTTCTCAGCCCCGTCCCATTATCAGACCCCGGCTCCCCGGCAAACGCCGCTCCTCCCATCATCCCAGATATTGCCCACTTGTCCGCTTTCGGCAGCCCCTCCTGGCCACCCTGGTCCCATGGACGTCCCGCCGGTCCCGTCCCGATATGGCGTGCTGCTCGCACGCGCCCCAGTGTGGCAGTCGCTTCCCGCCACCGCCGTCGGGGCTGCGCTGGGTCCGCTCGCCGGCAGTCCCGCCAGCGCAAGTGGGTCCCCAGGCTCCGACCGCTGCTTGTTCCCCCGAGTCTGCACTGCACACCTCTCACTCGCAGGGACGGGTCATCCTACAGGCATCCCTCATCATCGCCCAGTGATCTCCCATGCTCGGCTCCGCCCACTTCTGGCGATCACAAGCGACGACAGCTGCAGCTACGTACGCGCACGCTCAAGATCGTGGCCCGTCCTCGCATTCGACGACTCTTGTTTACACACGGAACGCTGCTAGACCGTCGAACTCTCTCTCTCCTGCTCTTCCCGCCAGCTCCTCGGGCACTCGCAGGTCCGGTCATCGACTCGGCGTCTTCCTGCTATTTCCGTACGCGTCGAGGTACCAGGCCCTGCCCGAATGTATCCCTTCTCAGCGCCTCTCCCGGGGATATGTACCACGGTATGGAAGCGTAGGCGAATGCGAATGCGTAGCCCGTTATCCCTTCCCTTATCGCGGCTAACTACCTGCGCTTGATCCCACCCCCCTGCTACCTCTATCATTCCTTCTGAGCCGCGGCCGGGCGCGGGCAGTGTAGACTCGTCGTAGCTATGTACATTTGCGTAGGAGACGATGATCCGCTGATGTACGATCGTTTGAAGAAGAATTGTATAGTAAGCAAGCCATCCCGCCGGCGGCGGGCTTATTTCCTTACCTGTCTGTATCTGCGCTCTCCACACAGGACCTCCACCGACTGCTCCCCATCTCTGCAATACCAGGTATTGGTGCCGTGTACATTACTCGCACTTGGTCTGTGACGCGTCCTCGGCACGCGTTTTGCATATCAACTAGGTTTCATGGCCAGTCCACCGGCCTCCCCCATGACCGCTGCTTACTATCATCACCGACCTTCCCAGGTCCTCCTCGATCCCGAGGCCGGGATATCACAAGTAGTCCTCGTACGCGCTCCCACTCCACCGCAACCACGTACATGTACATACTTAGACTCACCCAAGACCAAGCCGGATCTTGGATTCCAGAACCTCGGACCAGCGAGCTCGAGCAACGTGGCCTTGCGTTCTCCTCACCACGAGCGCCTCCCCGCCGGCAAGTACGCGTGGCTACCTATATTCCTGTCTGCTGTGCTTCTGACACGACCCGCAATGGCAGCACGCGCGTCCGACTCCGGCCAGGAAAGCGCATGTACATGCGATCCGAGTCGGTACATAGAAGCTCGCCGTCCAGGCGGGCGCGCCGATCCCGACGCAAGAATGGATCTGGAATACGATACGATACGATACGAATCCCGGCTCCAGACGAATCCGCATCCCCTCCCTCCCCCGCCCGGTCTGTCTCGGCCATCCGAGCGAACGATGACTGCACATCGCGCCCACCTGCGCCGGAGTGAGCAATTTCGGACCCCGCGAACGGCCGGGGCAAGGCGGAGACGGTGCGTCCATCCCAGACACGCACACCCCAGAACCATCTCGCTCCGGCGGGAACGCAATCACCCCTCTACAACCGGTCGCCGGTGCCATGGCGATGCGTCTATACCTGCATTCAACAGCTGTCCCCCTGAAGCACGACCAGCAATCTTTGGTCTCGCGATCGCCGGTCACGGTACGCACGAGGGGCGCGCGCCTGTCTGCTATAGACTGTTGGCGCGCATCCACCGCCTTACACTATGCTGGGGCGAGTGCTTTGACCCGACGCGAGTCTGCTCGATGCCCGCCGCAAACATAGGAAGCTGAAACCGATATCACGAGAGACAGGACGTTTGGAACGAGACCGAAACCTCTGCTCCAGCTACGTGGGGTGGCATCCCGGCCCCCTCTCCCTGTTCCAGGCGATAGCATCCATGTTATCTGGGAGAGGAGGGGGTTCGGATGCCAGGTGAGTGCGGAACTAGCGGAGAGGTGTGCTGTGGTTTCAGTAAACTCGCAATGCGTGGGATCTAAGAGCGGGGAGGGGGAATAACTGAGAGCTCATCTCCCGCTCTCCGTCTTCCTCTGACCGCCCTTGCGAAGTGTCCTTGATCCTACCCTCCGTAGGCGCGTACACCCATGTTTCGTGCGCCCTGATTTTCGAAAGCCGTCATCGCAGCCTGTGGCGTGCGGGAGCGCTCGTACCCGTTGGCTAGCACGATCGCGCGTCCGACCCACCCCCACCTCATGCCCCACGAGCAGGAGATCGCATCCCGCCCAATGCCCGGACATGTTGTCTGAATCTGCTGAAAGTCTATCTCGTCCTTGCCAGTTGTCATTACTGTATATCCAAGTACCCCAGAGTTTCCGCGGGGACGCGATGCTGAACGATTGTCCGAGTTTGTATGTCCAAGTGTTATCACTTTGATTTCGGCGCCGGCGCGCGTCATTGGCGGGCATCCAAACCGCCGCGGGTGTGCAGTAGATGATGTGTGACCGCGGCCGGTCCTGCGCATCCCCACTGCCGGTCGTACGTGCGTCGTCATTTGATACAGCTCGCAGACTGACAGTGCGATGGATCGTGGGCTGTCAGACGAAGAAGCTAGCTGAGCGTCTCGACGTCGAGCGATCACCTGTCGAGTATAGCAAGGCCTCATCCAGTCTATCTCTCAAGCAACTCTACTCACATACATTTCATCGTCAACTATGACGCGTACGTGCGCCGACGGACCGTCCAGCCGCACCGCACCGCCCGCCTCCGGGACGTGTCCGCCCGCCGAATATGTACTCTCAGCGCACCGCCGCATTGTGCGGGTACGCCGAACGTTCCAGAGTACAGTACCGAGGACGGAGACGCAGTGGGAACCGGGAGGGGGCCCGCGAATCGCGGCCGTTTCCCTCAACGCAGGGCGAGAACGGTACTGCGACTCGGGCTTGGTACGCACCGTCACCGTCATCGTCGCCCGGACTGCGAGTCGGGTACTATATGCGCCATCACGCCTTTGACAGATGCGCATCACCAGCCGCCTCCTATCAACCAAGTAATCATTCATCGCGAAACATTTGTTAGTCCGAAAGTAAGTAAGAGGTCAAGCTGCGTTTCAGCACACTCACTGGCATCAATCGCTTCATTAGTATACTAATATCAGCCACAGTCGTCAAGTATGACGCAGACCTACTCTACAGCGCCCGCGGTCGTCAGCGGCCGCTGGGGATTTAATCAAGCCTCGGGTCGGGGGTCGGGGTCGGCGCTACAGTAGCAGATCCGCGGGACGCGTCGGGCGGGGGCTGGTAAATCCGAGGTCGTGCTTCGCGGCTTATCTGTCGGCTAAGTAGTACGGTACATATAGACCGGAATAAGCAGTGGAGAGATGCCAGCGGATGTCGCGGCGGGATCTTAGTTTCGTGATTGATGGCTTCGAGCGGTGGAGGATCGGAGATGGCGGTTGAGCTTGACGTCGGTTTTACCGCTCTGGCTTTCCAGCACTACCTCGAGGGCCGGCTGAACACCTCTGAGGGGTACTGAGTAACGTACCGGGGCATCGCGATATGCAAGGAAAACGCACACGATACAGAATCCCGGCAAAAAAAAGCAGAGCACCGACCCTGACTTCCCCTCCTTCTGAATAGTTACATTGGCTCGGCCTTCACCCGACCCACGTCTACTGGCAGTCTGGCGCCATCAGCGTCCTTGCCTGTGTACCGGTGGCTCAGACATGGCTTAGCACACCTGCGATCAAAGCTTGCTCCTCCAGTATCTTCCTGACGACGAACAGCCGCCGTCAGTCAGGATCAGCCAGAGGCTTGTAGGCAGAAAAACAGGGCTTACTTTGGAGCCTGATGCAAGGCGTTCAGTAGAGCTTCGGTTAGTCGACAGACACGATCAACTGATCCGCTGACCGTTGCGACTGATCAGCACTCATAAGCGAGAAACAATGACATCCGGAGAATCATTCGCCGTCATTGGCCACTGCCTCTTTAGCCTACTTCAGCACTTGCTCACGTCCTGAGGCGATGTCGGGGAGATAACTCCAAGCATCCTTTCCACAAATTTGTGACGGATGGGGTGTAGGGGTTCGCAGCCATTCATGCATTGCATCCTCAGGGACAGTAGCCTGCAAATATCAAGCGCCAGATTGTACAAGAGCCAATCATATTCGCGGCAGAACTCGTGACAAGGTCTTCCTGCAGATTTTACGAGGAAAAGGGGGACAATTATGAATTGCGCGACTGATCAGAAATAATAGAATACGTCTACAGTATCTTCACTAGTCCCCGGACTCCGTCTGGGCTGTCATACCGAATAATACAGTCGGGAATGCTGAATGCGGGATGGAGGAGTGATGTAAACTGTGACGCGACATCGATTACTCCCCTGACCGCAGGTCTGGTTATGGGCTAACGCAGCTGCTAACGCACTCACTAACGCCGATAGTATCGGCTATTGTGAGTTCTGGTCAGTATATATAAAAACCACGCCCCGGTTACTCTGGCTACTATAGGGGATCAGCTCGGCGCAACCCACCTGACTACCGAGCAGGCCAGCTGAGCCATGAATGATCGTGCAAGGGAGAGATTCCCGTGAGACGCGATGAGGCCATCGATGCAGCGTTCTCAAGACTGGGAAGCTCGACCTTGGATTAGCAACTCGAAAGCAATATAGTCACCGAGGCGTATGAAAGAGCGGCCATGCTCCCGTGCGCCGTTCAACGACCTACCATCGAGGCACATAGTTAGTCCAAGTTGTGTGAGCAGCCTGAGTGACCTCGGGCTGGCAACGGTGCCGTTTACACTGCTGGATACTTCCTCCTGCATACAACAGTCTGGTACACATACCTTCGCGGGAGCAACAACCCGAGAAAGACCTTGAGAAGGGCGATGCAGATCGATAAGAAAGACTCCGCTTGCCCCAACCATCGACGCCGCGTTGTCCTCGATGTAGACTAGACTGCTCACTCGGGTCTCGGATTTTGTTGCAGGCATTGCAGGACCCCCGATAATTGGTATAAATAGAGCGTATTTGCAAGGCCCAAAAGTTTGCGGAGAGAGGCGCTCCACTTTTCTGAAGGACTCACGGATCAGCGCGGCACGCTCTCTCAGCGAAGTACTATGCTTGTCAAAGTGCACAAATATTCCACCCCCGGAATTTTTGTGTTTTCCCCCGGAAATTCGTGTCTCCCCCCGGTATTTGAGCGTGGCGGTGCAATACGACTGCCATATGTGGTGCTGCAGCGTCCCACGATGGGCTGCGCCACAGGTGGCAGTGCTACAAGCTATCCATATACAGTGCGAGTGTCTCACAGTCACTCGCGTGCCCTGTGGCGCCGACGATGCCTGTGCCCTCAGCCACAGCGATGCCAGCGAGCCGTCGCAGGCAATCGCTGACGTCGCTCTCGACCCGAGGTCGATGTCACAACACTTACACAATGATATTCTCGTTTTAATTCTGTTGGGAGTTTTTTCCTGAAATTCTGGAGCTGTACATGCAAGGAAGTTGATATAAATCAAAATACCCCCAGAAAAATCAATGGTGTTTGCCATCCCAACCGCAATCCTTCAGAGAGTTGCGAAGGGTCCATACTGCTGTTAAGAGCATAATACATCAATCTAGCATTCTATCGTATTACCATCTGCGTCGAGAGCGACGTCAGCGATTGCCTGCGACGGCTCGCTGGCATCGCTGTGGCTGAGGGCACAGGCATCGTCGGCGCCACAGGGCACGCGAGTGACTGTGAGACACTCGCACTGTATATGGATAGCTTGTAGCACTGCCACCTGTGGCGCAGCCCATCGTGGGACGCTGCAGCACCACATATGGCAGTCGTATTGCACCGCCACGCTCAAATACCGGGGGGAGACACGAATTACCGGGGGAAAACACAAAAATTCCGGGGGTGGAATATTTGTGCACTTTGACAAGCATAAAGTACGGCTGATTTTCGGTTTCCTCTAAGTCGTGTCTAACTACCGCAAAAGTTGTACAAGGCGTATCGTAGGTATCCATAGATGTTTGTTGAACAAGAATGAAGCTGAGTGAGCGAGAAATATGAGTTTTATAGATGACTTCGCGGCACGGGTGGAGCAAGGGCTACCGGTTTAGGTAGGCAACCCTCGGCTAAATCCTCTGGATCAGCAGCTCCAAATTTTGGATCAAAGGTCGTTGCAAATACGCTCTAATGTCTGATCAGGTTCCGGACAAATTTTGGGACTTTAGAGCCCTCAATGGCTGATTTTTTACAGACAAATTGGCCGATTCTGGAGAACAGGCCTGATTTTTTTCCGGTCATTTTGGTCAGATTTGGCCATTTCGACGCCATATTTATCCCGGCACCTGCCGGGGAAGCTAAATTTAGACGTACCCACGCCACAGTTGCCTTTTAGAGCCACTTTTTCGCTGTGATGCCTGTTTTTTTCCGGACAAAAGGTCCAAAATCGGCGATGTTCTTCCGGACAAAATGGGTCTACTTATGGGTCCTCGGGATCAGGCATTTATACTGATTATCGGGGGTCCTGGCATTGCCAGCAATTGCGGTAAGTACACAGCAACGTCGCTTGGGTACGAGCCATGGAAAATCCTGTCAGAAAGCGCACTCGGAAGACTTATGGGTTTCCGCTCGGTACCGCTGCGCAGGTTATTATATGTACCTGGTCTGCAGGGTCTGCATGAAGTCTCGTGAAACAGTGCAGCTCGAGCAGGCTTTGAATCGTAGAAAGAAAGGATGATCACCTGAACTATGGGACTATGATAGATTGCCACAGCGGTGGGAAAATGGCGACCTCACAGTGAGCACCTGGATGGACTAGTACTGCTTCCTCATGATGGGACATGAAGTCTGGGGGGTCAAAAGTCCAAATAGAGGACAAGACATTAAGCTCTGTAGCGCGTGCCTATACTTATACCTCGCAACCGCAGATGTACCTCATCGGCGTCGGGAATTATCGCTCGAGAAACGCATATCTCGGGGTGAAGAACAGAGTAGCGCACATGGGATGCCCCCAGGGGGTGTAAACCGGCCAACTCAGACGCTCATAACAAAACAAACGACCTCCTGAAAGTCCTCCTGATTATGGGGTCTCCAGTCAGCATCCGAGCGTCCTCAACTTCAGCAGGTTCGTACTCACACGGAAGGCAACAATGTTATCCTCGGAAATAGCGAAGCTCCATTGGTATCCAGTCACGAGCGGAGGCAGCTGCAAGTTCACCCTTGCGCACTCGAGGAACCTCGTATGATTGATCCAAAACTCCTCGTTACAAGTCTTCACGGCATGTACCTCCGCTTCTCCGTCCCGCATCGAGCGACGGAATCTCCACGGCCTGAAATCATGAAGCGCCACCACGGGTCGCGCGAGGCCATTGTTCTCAAGAGGGGCCAGCCACTCGATCGAACGATATGCGGACGCCAACTGCCGTCGGGACGAGGATGCACGGCCGTAAGGGCGGAACGGTCCCGTCATGAAGGTCCGCCCCACGCCCCAGTCTTCCCACAACCAGAGTTTCTGTGAGCCGGGATGGCTGCACGATTGGTCGATTCGAGAGTGCAGTACTGCGTCCGGAATGGTATGCATCAGCTCGAGACTATGGTCGCCGTGGCCGTCGTCCACGCCCTCGTCGCCCGTGGACAATCGTATCTTGTCGTAGGACATCTCGACGACCACACAATCGTCCGAGGCTGAGTGGAAGAGACCTCCGCCCGGATCTGCCGATGACGAGGCGGAGTGCTGGATCAACCAAGAGAGGGTACGATGTTCGTGGAACGGATATTCAAACGCACAGCAATACTCGCTCCCTGTCCACGAAAGGGGCTCCGCACGATTTACCGTGGTGTCAAGCTCATAGGTCTCGATACGCGGGTGCGCCCGAGTGTGTGGCTGGGGTGCCAATAGCAGGTAGTCGCCCATGAGTGCAAAGTCGGCACCGGCACGTATGTTGCATATCCACTGCGATAACATGCGTTGATACGCGGGAAGGCGAGGATTGCGGATGGAGGCACCAGACATATAGACCCATCTTTCCAGGACCAAACGATCAGGTGCTCGGTTGGTTCTCCGCCCGCTGGCCGAAATTGGGCCCCAAGAAAACCTCCTGATAGGTATAACTTGAAGTGGTCGTAGATCAGACCGCTCGGATAGGATAATTCGGACTCCAATGCGAGGGGATGCGGCTCGCCTGTGGATAGACTCGAGAGATATAATCGGGGCGGGGCGGCATCCTGGGCTGGCAGGACAATCAGCAAGTCTTGCACAGGGTCTATCACATAATCCTCAATCGAGAAGCTGAAGTTCTCAAACCGCCATTCCTTCGCACTTATACCCCGTGCATGCCCCGGAAGCAGGTTGAACGCCAGAGTGGACTTGCCCACACATCGAGCGAGAATGTTTCCGTAGAGCTGCAGCCTACTGGCTTTCTGGCAGGGGATCTCCTGCACGGTCTCGAAGGAGAGACCGCTCCACGAGTCAGTATGCGTGCGCACTCGGTTCCAGCGCTCCCCAATGGTCACGTGGCTCGGGGGTCCATCGACCATGCCAGCGACGCCCAGTTCAATTTTGTACTGCAGCAGGACGGACCCATCCACTACTCCCTTCAAATGCCGGTTTATCTGACAATTCATGATACCCATCAATGTCATCATTGCGACGAAAATGACGAAGGGATCTCTCACCCGACGACAGGCCAGCAGCGATTTCACGTCAAGCTGATAAAACGCATGCTCGATAATCTCAGTTGGAACGAGATCGAGATGACCACCGACTATCCGAGTCTGACCTGATTGGGAATGTTGACCAGCGAGTGTATACCACGGGAATCACAGACCTACCATCCTTCCAACGTGTCATTGGTTTTAAAGAGAGGAACACGTCGATAAAGGAGGTCTGGGATAGCCTTGCAGGCGAACCACGGTCCGACAGTTGAACGACCGCGACTCGGATAATGACAAGCACGAGATGAGGTGTTACAGTCTCGTATCACCCTGCCAGTGGACCCACTTGTCCACATTCACCCGATTGGCTGCGCGTGGCTGAGACGATATCGACGAGACAGGGTTCCCCGTCAATTGGACATCTCATCGTACGAGAGACTGGGACGAAATGTGCGAAGGCCTGGAGCACAAATCGAATCGAGTCGGGTTGAGTACTTTGCAGAGTTCACACGGTGCCGGATTACACTGGGCAACGACTCGCCACTCTACTCCATAGTGCAAATTGAGGCCTGACCGGCCTCCATGAGGAGCTTGGATTGGTCTGGATCACACATGTTGACTTCTCCCCAGTGTTCCCTTTCCCTTCGACATGCTATAACGACAGCCCATCAGCACGTCTCTGTGACATGACACAATACTATGCGGGCTCTACGCTCCTCGACGGTACACGATAACCCCAACAATACCTACAACCACGAGAACGATGCAGGCAGACACAGTAGGCGGCAATGCGCTCAGGGCACCGATCGACTGCATAATGGCGAACAAAGATCCTTTGATGATATTTCCTCCAAGAACAGCCGCTTGGTACGACGCCGCAACAGATCCTAAGCATCGGTGAGTAAAGCAGCGCTCGCGTGGATCCGAGAACAGGATACCTTCTATCACCCCGGCAGCACCGAAGCCGAGAGCGTGCACCATACCTACCAACAGCGACGAGATTGTAATGAAGAGTACGACGACCAGCGCCAGTCGGAAGAGGTAGATGAATGTTATACGGTGGCGGCGGATGTACTTGCACGCATGGGCCACGCCCTGCCTGATAGCATGGCGGACTGAAGCGGGGGATTAACGTGGAAGTACTGTGCATGATCGGACTGGGATCGCACCTGCAGCAAATCGTTCCTTGGCTATGGGTCCAAGTCAGCGTGGCAAGATGGATACAGATTCAATTTACGCGCACCATCCGCTATAAAGGTACCATTGGCCATCTTGGGTGCCCAGTCGCCTTTGGGTATCCACGAGCCAGTGGTTACCCATGAGGGATTGGACATCCAAGAGGGACTGGACATCCGTGAGGGCCGGGTCAGACTGTTGGCAAAGGACTTGAGGGAGGGCACGGTCTGGCATAGGGCCGCCCGTAGCGAGCGAAGGCAAGGGGCGGGCATCGCGCTGAAGTGCCGCCCTAGGTGATGTGCCGTCAGCTTAAATACACGCAAGGGCCCCTTTACAGCTTCTGAGCTGACAGAAATAGAACACTTTGGCGCCGGCGTTGTAGAAAGAAGCGGAGCACGAGATCGCTCGCACTTATAGGTCGATCGTCTGCCGTTACAGTATACGGTCGCCGAGTTTCCCAGAACACCTTTGAGTCCAGCGCCTGCACATTCCTCTCGCCCGTTTCAGGTAGTAAGCTGTCCTCGATAGTATGTCCTTGACAGCCGTGGAAGGGAGGGCTGTCCAAGAATAGAGCACGCCCGCCCCTGCGCTCCGTGTCTATAGAACTGGTGTTGTCGCTAAAAAGAAGTCGCACCGCGATACTAGGAGAGCTGTACAAGGTTCGTCCTTCACAGGCCTCGTGTTTTGCGCATCTCATGATCAGCTGCGCGCTTACGATTGGAAGTGTCTGCACTCAAAATCGATGCGGTTGCAGCACCAGGGGTTTCCGTACCAGACGTCGCGGCAAAGAACGCTCTCTTTGTCGAACGGCAGACGTATGCTCGTACAACGCCAGCGCTTGGACGGGTCACATATCAGGCAATTTTTTTCAAGTAAAAGTCAGATTGGCATGATGCAGATTATACAGCGCCCAACGCCCTCGTTGAGGAGAAGGATACCCGGGTCCGAGAGGGCTGAGTCATGCAGGAAAGACGGTAGAAGTACCCTAGAGGAGGCAGGGGCGCAGTAAAATCCAGCGACCAATTTCGCGACAAGACAAGCGCCCCAAGATGTAAGTGACTGTCATTCAGACTCATCCTCGCGCTCAAGGTTTCACAGCCATCGTATACTCTGCATTACGAGGATATGCCGAAAGCCAAACCAGGATTCTACGCCGTCCGCGTCGGGCGTCGGTGAGCCCCTCGTCCCAAGGAGCCGTTGCACAAGTTGCTGATGCGCATACGTAGGGAGGAGTGCGAGAGCCAAGTGAAGGGGTTCTCCAGCAAGAAGTTCAAGAAATTCAACACCGCTGCGGAGGCAGAGGAGTTTGTCAAAGGCAGTCCAGCCACGGGGCAGGTTTCAGCTGCCCGTCCCGGGGAGGCATCGTATGGAAGATAGGGTTGGGCAGGCAGCGATCGTAAGCAACGGGGAGCAGCATATTTGTATTAGTTTGATTTCCGGCGTAGCACTCTTGAGCGAATAAGAAGTCCTGGATGTGAGCCGCAGGGTAAGTGGAAGTAACTCGAAGGTAAACGTGATGACCTGCACGGGAGCCAAGAAGCTGAGGGACTTGCGGGATGCCGCATAGTCCAGGCCTAGGCGTTCAAGTTACAGCAGAACCAAGGTTCGTATCAGACCAACCTGATCGTTAATGCGACTCGGGCTGGCCTCATAGACATCGATAGCGCCGAGTGAACTACCACGACTTTGAGGAGCGATTCTCCATCGAACGACAGGAGGGACAAGTGGGAATCTTCAGAAGTCCAGCAGACGGCACCGTGGAAGTATATCTATATTTCCGCGAGGGTAGTGCAGAGGAGGGAGAGAGGTTGAGGACGCGAACGCCTAGTCGCGAGACCATTCGAGGCTGCGAGTCAACTCGGCGTCTCGTCTGCTCCTATCAGCCATCACCTTACGCGCCCTTTGTACCGAGAAGCAGCGGCGGGGACGGACATAGCACGTCGTCAGGGGATAATCAGACGCCTCGGCAGGGTATTCGACTCACGTCAGGTCACAGCAAAGCCAAACGGGGTAGTACATTCTGTGGATGTACCAAGCCAAATTCGTTTCTTCTATGATGTTGGAGCCTCCAGCATGATACAAGCCAGAGAACGCAAGAACGCGGGGTGGGAGGGGGGACGCGGTTCGGCTGGAGAGTCGGCGCATCCATCGAAGCATACTCCGAGCTGCCGAACGTGATGTTCTGAAAGTGACTTTCGCGGTTTCGCCAGTTGAGTTGCAAACAGTACCGGGATTACTCAGACGACAGATGCACACGATACCTGTGAGTGAACACAATACGTTGGAGCGAGCGTAACCAGCTGTTGCGCGCTTTTCCGTGATGTGGCGGTACCCGGTGTAAATGGCCGTACCCGGTGTAAATAATGAGAAGGAATGACATGATCAGTTCACATGAATGATTTATTGCCATGCGTCCGCCTACCGCTCGGTCGTATATCAGTCCATTTGGCGAGAGGAGGAATGCTTTGGACTTACGTGACATACACCCACAGACGCTTCCGCCACCTATACCCTCTGGGACTCGGATTGTCGAAGCAGAACGCATCAAGATATGGCAGAGGTGATACATCGAACATTACAACTCCGTACGCATACAGCTCGCACATCCTTGCGACTAGCGTTCGACCGAGAAACAGACTTGATCACGAGCACTATACACCGACAGCGGATACGAACCTGGCATCACTGCTCCTCCCGCATAATCCGCTCCATCTCCTCGTCGCTCCACAAATCACTCTCATACACCTAACATAGTCATCAGACCTCCGCCAACACCTTGACATCGACAAACCATCCCACTCACCTCAAACTCCACCGGCAGCGGCTTCGGCACGCTCTTCATCGCCTGCACCGCCTTCACCCCTTCTTCCACGCCCCGCCTCAGCCCCGCCCAGTCCCTCTCCGGCTGCGCGGGCAGATACGCGCCGGCGACCGCGAGCGCGTCCCCGCCCTCGTTGCCCTCGACGCCCGCGTGTCCCGCGACGTACTTCAGGCGCACCTTCCCCGCGCGCGCGCGCGCCTCGAGCAGCGCGGCGAGGTACTGGATGAGCTCCTTGTTCTTGACCGGCTGGCCGGAGGCCGCGCGCCAGTTGTTGCGCGTCCAGTTCGGGAGCCATTGGTGGAAGCCTGGGTGGGTGGGTTGGGAGCGTGAGGGGGCGGGAGAGCGGGGGACGTACAGTTTATGGAGTATTGCGAGTCGGTCTTGATGAGCAGGGGTTTCGGCCCTGGGGCGGTGGTTTCGAGGACGCGCGCGATGGCCTGTGATAATGCGTTATTGCGTGATCGCGGGGTAGGGAACGGCGTAATTCACGATGAGCTCTGCGCGGTTGTTCGTCTGGTCGCCTGGGCATCGCTCGGATAAGTTTCTAGTCGGAGACGTTAGCGTGAGGGACCAGCAGAGTACGAGACTACGAGGATTCTTTGAGTTCCAACATATCAAGAACGTACCTCGGATCGTTCCTTCCCCACCACACGCCGATCCCAGCAAGAGCGCCATCCTTCCCGTTCCCTCGACACGCCCCGTCGCTGTAGACCACGTCCCACCCCACCTCATCTTCCTCCGGCTTCTGGATCACAGCTTGCGGCGGGCTTGTCACGTCAGGTTTCGACGCTACGACGACGGGCGCGGGTGTCTGACCGCGCGGTGCCGCGACCGGCCCACCGTGCACGAACGCCTCCGCCTCCGCTGCGGTGTTGAACTTCTGGTACTTCGCGTTCGGAAAACCCTTGATTTGACTCTCGCAGTCACTCCTGTGCTCGGGCATTCGCAAATGGTGGGACGGCTCACCAGAGGGAATGGGCTTACCAGGTCGTGTAGATCCCTGGCTGGCGTCCGACGCGCACGGCGTAGAACCCTGGTTTTGCTTTCGGCATGCTGTCTCCTGCTGCGCTGCAGAATGCACGCCTGCTGATGTACGTGCAGCGGGTGTAGGTGCTGCGTAGGAGAATGGTGGTGAAGAGGAAAGTCAGAGTATGAGCTCAGCCACTCACGCGTCGGACGCGACGGCTCGCAGATTCAGACTTGGGCTCGAACGACCACTCCTGTCTGCTGTTTATTCTTCACTACGACGTTTATACCAGGATTCCCACTGCGCAATCATTCGCTGTATCGATACCTATCGTGCCAATCCGAATCGTGCGGTGCTACTCAGATTGACCTGATACGGTATCTACAGAGTGACGCAGTGGTACACACGGCTTAGTGCTCGGGTTCTCTGCGCGTTCCAACTTGCAGGAGAACGCATGGAGAGCTTTCCCTTGCTACGCGTCAGCGTACAGGATCTCTGTACTCTGGCCGCCCCAGCAGGAGCTACTGTTTCTAGCATCTCCACGCAGTCTTCTCAAGCAGGTGCACAACCTGGTACTCTATGGAACCAGACCGCGTTGCCGCCACGAGCCATATACAACAGGCGATCGACTTGTAACACTGTCTGTGGTAGCCCTGTGATTCCGCAGGCGCTTACCCGCGACCCTCACAAGTAATGTTGCCACCACTCCGGCGTCAAGGCAAGCTCGGAAGCTGTGAAACGACATTCATCCGTACTTAAGCTAGCCACGGACCCCCTGTGGGCTGCAGTCGCGATGCCTGTTCTCGCCTTCTTCCCCGCCACCCCTTATGGCTCGTCACCGGGTGAGCTCCAAGACACGCCGTACATCACATCCTTCACCGATCGTCCAGACTGGCATTCGTGGAATGCCAATGGTGAGCACTAAATCTCAGTTGTACTATAGGTTGACCTCACTCTCTGCGTAGTAAAGGAATGGTTCGCTAGCGGTGCGATTCTCCCCTGCTGCTGAAAGCTCGAAACTAATGAAGCCGAGCAGGCCCCTTCGCCGCCGTCGGACGTGCGCTGAGACATGCTACCGAGTTTGTCGTTCAATTCATCCACAACCACCAGATTATATTAGCCCTTCTCCTCGCCGCGGTCCTCGCTTTCGTGTTCCTGCGTCTTTTCGAGATTGTGGTGTACCGCGCCGGGTTCGGCAGGCAGGGACCTCAAAGGAGTAAGCCGTTCGCAGTACCATCCTCTTCACTGTTCCCTTGGCTCATGACGGTATAGGATCCTTGGCAGCGCGTATCCAGGGCAGAACGTATGGAGTCGCGGTCCCGGCGGGGTCTTCGTTCTCTCATCTGCAGGCCGTAGGCGCCCGGGGCGAGTTGCGGCGTCCTGTATACCTCTTTGTCGTGCTCGTGGTCGAGGCTACTGTTGGGATCGTGATGTTCATTCGAGAAGCGTAGGGACGTGCCGTTATTTCTCAGGCCGCAGCCTGTCGATGGCTTTCGCCTGAGGGTAGCCTGCCTCAGGGCGAAGTCCGAAGTAGAACCCTCGCGTTGCTTTCGCCTGAGGATGTAGGTGCAGCCCCTGGGTGCCCTGCGTAAGGGGCGATAATGATACGTATATATTTACTATTGGTGGTCGAGACAGGTCAAGTAGTACCACCATTCACCGTTCACACGATGCGATGGAGGCTTGCGATATGATTTAAATAATTTCCTTTCCATTTACCGTTAAGCAGCGAGCAAAGCCGGTTGGGACTCAATGACCACGACACAGCGATTGCCAGTTCCAATCCAACAAACAGTTAAACGTGAGCGTAACTGGCCAGATCAGGTCCACGAGCGGACGTGGAAATCGGCACTTTCCCAGTGTGTAGTACTCTTTACGTCTTGCTATTACGTCGAATTCTTTTCAACGCCTTACACTAGACGCAAAGACAATTCCCCGTTTCCCTGCTCCTCCATAAGGTCTCTGAAACGATGGTGAGTCTCATTGCACTGTGTTGTGTATCAACTACAGGATTCAGACTGGCCAACTGCAGGGTCGGATCGACGACCTACCGACTGAACTCCTGGAGCGCACACTCGAGAAGTTGGAAATTCAAGCTCTGGTGGCGTGTCGGCAGGTACGCCTGTCCCGCATCGTCGTCCCATCATGTCCAGTCAACTGAAAGAGACTGGATGCGGATATTTTCTAGCTGAGCCGACGTGTCAAACGAGTCATCGATGAGTCCGTCGTTCTCCAGTACAAGATCGAGCTGGAAACTGCCGGTATGGAAGACGGCCCGCGTAGTGAGATCAGTACCGCGGAACGATTGCAGCGTCTACGTAAACATACCGACTCTTGGGCCAGCACACAGTTCGGATCCGTGGAGAAGCTGCGCGGCGGCAGAGGCAGTATGCTGCGTCTCTCGGGCAATGTATTCTGTCGGTGTCTCGGCCCATCAACGCTGGTGCTCAATATCCTCCCCGGGAATTTACGAGGAGTCAAGGCGAAGGAATGGCGGCTCGACGATTTAGGATTTGTGATCGAAAACTACGCGATAGATGCTGCTCAAGATCTGCTTGTGATCGTTTCCCGAACGCCTGAACAAGATGGGGCAGCCGTGAGTTCGTCAACGCACATGATTCACTGCCTGTCTCTTTCGACTGGGCAAGCACACCCGCATGCAGCACGTCCCAAAATACTGCTTCCGGGCAACTTGGTGTATGACGACAACGGGTGGCTCAAACTTCGTCTGTCGGGAGACTTTATTGGTGTGATGTTGCCGTACACTCCAGACTTGAGTGCACAGCATTACCAGGAACATCTGGTCGTCTGTGCCTGGAAAGAAGGTACTGTATGTATGGTGAGTTATTTTCCTTCTCCTTCCGGCCTGACGTTGAATGTCTCCTGAGTGGCTGAGTGAGGCATCTGGCCTCGAGGACTTCACGGTCGTAGAAGGCTTCCTGCTTACAGGTATACGGCCTAGGATGAGCGAGAAGCCACGCTTGGAGGCTTACAGCATCGACAAACACTCAGCATATACGGAGCCCGTCCCATTCACCAAGTTGTCTTGCTTCACGTTCGAATACCCATCCTATGATGACCATATCCTCATTATGGAATTCTCCACAATTTCGTCCCTTGGGTCTCTGCCCGAGCTGGAGGGCTCAGCTCTCTTTCGGGCGGCACCGACAGACGTGCACCTCGCCGTCCAAATGTGTTTCGAGAGTGATGACTTCGACGCTGAGCACAACTTCCGGGTTACACATGTGGTCCCAGTGTCGGTGCTTACTTCCAGAATCCGACAGATGCTGGGTCAGTCCGCTCCCGTCATCCCATGGGAAGAATGGGGTCCGTCATATACGGTGATGACTGGCCCCGTATATTATGATCAGTATCTGTCTCGACCTATGCATGGGGTCGCCTCTCAGCGCCTCGTTGACTGGTTCCACCCAGCCCACCACACCGCAGAGGATACGGCGGAAGTCTTCGACTTTCGAGTCCACAGGCTTCGACGGGGATTGCAGTCCGGAAAAATGCAAGAACACGTTACGATGGACCCTGATGATACGTTTTGGATCGATCATTCAATGTTTCACCCTTGTGCCAAGATGACCTTCCGCTTGCCTCCCCAGGTACCTCGACCTATGGGAGGATACTGGGATTTGGCGTTGACTGCGGACAATATAGTCTTATACGATGTGGGGTTTTCTAAAGTCACTATGAA